TGACATGTCGCGCAAGAAGCGTGATGCATTTCGCTGCACAGGCGCAGCGTTTTGTGAGATCCTCAGTTTGCTACGCAGTTCCATTGGGATTAGCATTTGGAGAGTCGTGTTTTTGGGGTGTTGGATGTGGCCGTGCCATTGGGATTTGCGTTTCAGGGTGTGGCATCGAAGCTCTGTTTTCGTGACAAGTCTCAGCTGAAGTGGCGATTTTGGTGGATGGGAGTGTGCTCAGAACGGATCGAAATCATTCCAAACGTGTGGTGTGGTGCAAATTTTGTTGAAGCTCACATGAGATGATATTGTCACTTTTCGCGGCAGGCGCAGTACTTTGTGCGGGTTTTGAGGCATGGTAGTGTGATTTTCGTGGCAGGCGCAGGGAATCGTGAGGTTGCGAGGTGTGACGGAGGTGACATTGCGTGGCAGGCGCAGTACTTTGCGCGCGTTAGACGTGTGGACGCGGAAAGATGCGTGGCAGGCGCAGGGAATCGTGAGGTTGTGAGTTGTGGTAGAGGTGACTGTCGTTGTCTCATTGGGATTGGCGTGTGAGCGGGTGTTGTTTGGAGGGGCTGGAATCGCGAAACTGCTTGGCAGGGCTGCGTGATGTGTGTGCTCCGATGGGTGTTTCCGCTTGACTTTTGGAGGAAGTCTCGTACGAAACGCTCGTTTTGGAGACTTTGACACGTGAGTTTTTGAGGAAGTCTCGTACGAAACGCTCGTTTTGGAGAGTTGACACGTGACTTTTGGAGGAAGTCTCGTACGAAACGCTCGTTTTGGAGACTTGACGTGTGACTTTTGGAGGAAGTCTCGTACGAAACGCTCCGTTTTGGAGACATGACGCGTGACTTTAGGAGGAAGTCTCGTACGAAACGCTCGTCTTGCAGCCTCGAAGCGTGACTTTTGGAGGAAGTCTCGTACGAAACGCTCGCGTGACTGCTTCTAGTGTGTGGGCAGACCGTGTCGCGACACGAGTGTCCCACAAGAGTGTCCCACAAGAGTGTTCCACAAGAGTGTCCCGCAACCGTGTCCCACAAGAGTGTCTCACAAGAGTGTCCCTTAAGAGTGTCCCACAAGAGTGTCCTATAAGAGTGCCCCACAAGAGTGTCCTACAAGAGTGTCCCACAAGAGTTTCCTACAAGAGTGTCACACAAGAGTGTCCCACAAGAGTGTCCCACAAGAGTGTCCTACAAGAGTGTCCTACAAGAGTGTCCCACAAGAGTGTCCTGTAAGAGTGACCCACAAGAGTGTCCTACAAGAGTGTGTCACAAGACTGTCCCACAAGAATGTCCGACAAGAGTGTCCCGTAAGAGTGACCCACAAGAGTGCTTTTGAGAGTGTCCCACAAAGAGTGTCCTACAAGAGTGTCGCGCAAGAGTGACCCACAAGAGTGCCCCACAAGAGAGTCGAGTGCCCCACAAGAGTGTCCCACAAGAGTGCCCCGTAAGAGTGGCCCGCAAGAGTGTCCTACAAGAGTGTCCCACAAGAGTGTCCTACAAGAGTGTCCCGCAAGAGTGTCCTACAAGAGTGTCCCAAAACAGTCCCCCCCAAGAGTTTCCTACAAGAGTGTCCTACAAGAGTGTCCCACAAGAGTGTCCCAGAAGAGTGTCCCGCAAGAGTGTCCTACAAGAGTGTCCCGAAACAGTGCCCCGCAAGAGTTTCCTGCAAGAGTGACCCACAAGAGTGTCCTACAAGATTGTCCCACAAGAGTTTTCCACAACAGTGGCCTATATGAGTGTCCCACAAGAGTGTCCTACAAGAGTGTCCCACAAGAGTTTCCTACAAGATTGACCCACAAGAGTGTCCTATAAGAGTGCCCCACAAAGAGTGTCTTACAAGAGTGTCCCACAAGAGTTTCCTACAAGAGTGTCTCACAAGAGTGTCCTACGAGAGTGTCCCACAAGAGTGTCCTACAAGAGTGTCCCACAAGAGTGTTCCACAAGAGTGTCCTATAACAGTGTCCCACAAGAGTGTCCCACAAGAGTGTCTCACAAGAGTGTCCCACAAGAGTGTCCTACAAGAGTGTCTCACAAGAGTGTCCTACGAGAGTGTCCCACAAGAGTGTCCTACAAGAGTGTCCCCCAAGAGTGT